TATCCCAACGTTCCATCAAACGTCACGGGCGTTTTGTCAGCGTTGTAGTGCGTTCTTTAACGTTTCCCCGTATGGAACGTATTTCTGAGCCACTACACATGGCTCTCCCTCGCCTATTTAATCAGTTTCTTGATCAATGCCTTGAAGCTAGTGGTGTCAGAGATCCACTCACCGCGCTGTTTTGTTTGACGTTGAGCCATCCGTCGTTCGAGAACGGCCACATTTTCCTGAGCTTCCGCAAAAGAGCCGAATTGGACGGCGTGGCCATTATGAATTTTTTAAACAAAATTCAACAGTCCAAGAAGGAAATTTTACTTGGTCAGGATCTCTCTGCAGAGTTGCACATTTTCGATGAGCAAGCCCCAGTTGAACCCGTGCTGTTGAACGGCGGCGCCAGAGTCGCCCATTATTTTGATGCCGACCTGAAAATACCAGGCATCATCAAGAATACCGACGGATATTGTCTGCCACGATCAATAGCACTTGGCATGCTGAAGGCTGATGAGGAAACTGAACAGGACCCGGAAATTAAAGAACGGATGAGAGTGAAGCGGAAAAACTATACAGCCCGTGGAAAGCCAGAGCTACACACAAAATTGTTAACCGAAGCTGGCATAGAGTTGGGTCAATCAGCTTATGGACTACCAGCGCTGCAGGCCATTGCAGCCAAAAACTTGGACTATATGATTGTCTTGTACACAAGACCGGCAGGGCAGAAGCTCTATTCCATATTTTTAAAATTGAATCCAAATGGATCAAAAATTGTAAATATTGGATATCACAATGAGCATTACGACTCCATCAATCCCGTCTTGGGGGAGAATTCGTTTAGTGCCGTGATTTGCCGTAGCTGCAAACAATCATATCATTCCAAGCCCCATCGGTGTAAATTGAACTGCTCGAAATGTCACCGGAAAAACTGCACCAGGGATGAAGTAGAAGAAACAGACATATACAGAATTTGCTCATTCTGCAGTGTCCAGTTCATGTCGCAGGGCTGTTATGAAGCCCACGTGGGGGAAATCTGCCGCCAGTACAAGGTAAAAGAAAAACAAATAGTATAACTGTATTACACTTTTTCAGGCATGTACTCAGTGTTTCAAATACTATAGAGTAAAAAGTACAAGACAACACGTATGCGAAACACGGTTTTGCAACACCTGTAAGCATATCATGCCCGCAGAACACGAATGTTGTTGGATGCCACCAGGAGATAAACAACGTCAGCAGGCCAAGAAGGATCAAGAATCCTACAAGGTAACATAAATGCACTAACCAAGCAAACCTTTTACTTTAGCTAGTCTTTTACGATTTTGAGACTGTTGTTCTGGAGGATGGGATAAATTTGGACCAATATAACGCGGAGCAGTGGCCTAACCTTGTTGCCTACAAGAGATTCTGCAGCAACTGCGTAAATTCAACAGGACCATGCCCCACGTGTGTGGTGAAGAGTGGCCACTTCAAATATCAGCCTGCCGACAGTGAATGGTCAGTGACGGATCGCTTTCTGGACTGGATTCTATACAATCCAGCGAACAATATGAGTTTGTTCATAGCTCACAACGGGTCCCGATTCGACATGCATTTTTTAATA